CTCTGCGTGTGTTGATGCTGTAGAAGTGAGTGGGGATGAAGATGGAGCCCAGCGCGTGCCTGCAACACACCACAGAAGAGCAGATCACATACACACCACAGGATACAACATCATTTTATATTACTAAATAACAATATAAAATATAATTAAATATTTCATTAATAATAATTATTTAAATATATAATAAAATAATCATTTAATAATTATATATATTTTTTATTAACATTAATAATTTAAATAATTAAATATTAAATAAAAATATTAATATTAATATTTATATATGCATGTATATAACTAACTATAACAATTTATTTTTATAAAAAAAATTATATTTAAAATAATTCAATAATATTTAATATGCTAAAATAAGAATTTTATATTATTAATAATTCAATTTTACATGTTTAAACGTTAATAAGGGTCTCACTCTTTGATCATCTCCTCCGTGTCTCTCAGCCCGTCGTGGTCGTGGTCAAATATGGGTCCCATGATCACATTTATGCCATTATTCTCCAGACTGTATCTCCTGAGGACGTCTCTCTGCAGGAAACTCCACACCTCTACACACACACACACACACGCACACACAGACACACACGCAGACACACGCGCACGCACACGCACAGACACACACGCACGCACGCACACAGAGACAGACACGCACACAGATGCACACACACAGACAGACACACACACACTCACTCACAGACACACACAAGCACACTCACTCAGACACGCGCACACACACACGCAGACACAGAAACACACACTCACTCAGACACACACACACACACAGACACGCACAAACACACACACACACACACACACAAACCATTAACACTCTCTCACACACACACACACACACACACACACACACACGCACAAACCATTAACACTCTCTCACACACAAACACACACACACATTTATTTAGTCTCATTTCTTTCTCAACACATTTATTCCTATGTGTAATGTTTCATGTTTTCAGTCTCATGTTGTTGTGTGTGAACTCCAGCAGTGAATGGAGCTAAAATACATGTAGCCTCAAAATGTGTTTTTACCAAATATCCTTCACAAATGCATCAGCTAATTCACATGCACAAAACAGTTCATGTTTGCAAACAGCAATTCACAAACTCACCTAATTCATATTCGCAAACGCAAGCTTGCACATTTCTGATTTTACGTGCACTGATGGGTAAATCTGCATTTGTAGATCATTGTGTGTGTTTCGTACCTATTCACTGTGCTTTTTAAAATGACCTTTATTTTTAGCCAATCAGATATGAGTTTTCCCTCCAGCTAATTTTTCACACTCAACGCTTTGACTCTAGAAGAACAACTTTGTGCATCTGCCGCTCATGCATTTGTGAATAAATATATTTAGCAGCTCAGGACTCACTCTTGAAGGCGGGATACATGGGAACCGTGTTTGTGATGAGTGAAGCTTCATATCTGGATTCAGCCGCAGCAGAGAAATCTACAGAGATCAACAGCAGTCATTCAGACATCAGATTTACCTCTAAACCATCCTGAGTGAAGACACTACAGGCAAACCTTTGTGTTTTCATGCACTAGGACAGTTTTTTGGTCTGTTTTGCTTCCATTCATGTCTCTTCTTTCAGACTAGTGGAAAGCATGCAAAATACACTTTTAAGTGTTTATTTTAATGCACTTCATGTATTTGCGTCTGTAGATTTCAACATCAATCCGTATTTTTTAACCCTTAACATAGACGTGAAAGTGCACTATCCAAACTTAAATTGTTATAATGCATGAATATGCTTTTTGAATACAGACCTAATGTTGGACTCTTTTTTAAAGAAGACAATCAGCAAATTATTGCAGAAGTGGAATTATTTCAAAATATGAAAGTATCAAAAAAAGTTATAAAAGTTTACATTTACTGTAAAGAAAATGCACTGTACTACTTTTTTATTTTATATAAAATACTTTTTTCATAACAGGTTTTACTCTGAAATTGCTATAAAATTAAAGCTTTATGTCTAAATAAGTTATGTTCCAAATTTGAAGTTGATATAAAAAAAATTGAGATTTTATTTAGGGCGTTATACCACAAACAGCCACCGGGTGACACCCAAACTCCATTGAATTTTTTTAAAATGCATTTTTCTGTCACAAATGTCTACATTTCTGTCACGATCACAAAATAAACACCAAATATGGAATCTTGAGACTCAGACCTTTCCAATGGTATGTTCAAATGATATATAATTTATGATGATTACTAACAGCAAACTTTACAGTTTTATTCCTCTCTATATTCTGAAGGTTTGTTCATATTTCATTCACACTGATTTACTCCTGAAAACATGGTGAAAATGAGTTTGGTTTCTGTCTGTTAACAGTATTTTCTGATTTATGATAAAAACAGAAATCCCAGAATCCCCTCTGGAAAAACCTTTAACTCTAATATGACGACAAAATCACACAGGAATTATAAACTGATGTTCAGATTTCCATTCTGTAAATGTATGCAAATTAGTGCATGTTCAATTAGACCATGCCTTTTTGCATGTTTAAACATAATAATCAGCACTGTTTTAACCGTATTCACCTGCAGTTTCTTGTCTTAAATCAGACATCATAGAGGCTCATTTCAGTGAAATAACATCTTGATTTCAGATCAACAGAAGTGTGTGACTGACCCGGCGGGCAGAGGAACGCGTGTGTGACATCGGGCTCCTGGTTGTACGTGTTACATGTGTGTGTGTGATCGAGACGAGGGTCTGCTCTCACACACTCGCTGGACGACACGGTTGGAGCCTCCACCTGCACACACACACACACACACACACACACACACGCACACACACACACGCACACGCACACACACACAGACGCACACACGCGCACACACACACGCACACACACACACGCACACGCACACACACACAGACGCACACACGCGCACACACACACGCACACACACACACGCACACGCACACACACACAGACGCACACACGCGCACACACACACGCACACACACACACGCACACGCACACACACACAGACGCACACACGCGCACACACACACGCACACACACACACGCACACGCACACACACACAGACGCACACACGCGCACACACACACGCACACACACACACGCACACGCACACACACACAGACGCACACACGCGCACACACACACGCACACACACACACGCACACGCACACACACACAGACGCACACACGCGCACACACACACGCACACACACACACGCACACGCACACACACACAGACGCACACACGCGCACACACACACGCACACACACACACGCACACGCACACACACACAGACGCACACACGCGCACACACACACGCACACACACACACGCACACGCACACACACACAGACGCACACACGCGCACACACACACGCACACACACACAGACGCACACACACACAGACGCACACACACACGATGAGTGTCACGCCGCGGCTCAGACAAACACACGTGTTCACGGCGCTCTGCGCACCTGTGCTGTGAGTGTGAAGGCGCTCCACAGCGGCATGTTGATGACGTTACTGAAGCCGCTGCAGTAATCTGAGTGACACAGCTGTGTGTACGACGTCTGGAAGAGAACGGCTGGACGGCCGAACGCCAGGTGTGTGACGTCTGCACGAACACACACACGATCAAAAACATCACAGAATCACACGCTCAAGAGATTCATTCATTCATTCTGCCAGCACAATCAATCAATTCCTCACTAAAATATTACATAAAAAGGTGCACTTCTGAAAAGCTGCATTTCATCTCTTCTTTAGCTTACTTCCCAATCTAGGTGGCTAATAAACCCGGCATTGTGCATTTCAACTAGTGTTGGCTCTTTGATGAACTGACTTTAGATAAAAGCATCTGTTGAATGCATAAATCTAAACGTAAAAATGAACAAGAATCAATTACTGAGCAAGTACATAAAAAATCAGTCTCCTTTTACCCCCATTTGACTGCGGTATGCTTATTTAATGATTTGTGACCCTGCAGCACAAAAGCAGTCTTAAGTCGCTGGGGTATATTTGTAGCAATAGCCAACAATACATTGTATGGGTCAAAATTATACATTTTTCTTTTATGCCAAAAATCATTAGGATATGAAGTAAAGATCATGTTCCATGAAGATATTTAGTAAATGTCCTACTGTAAATATATAAAAACTTAATTTTTGATTTTTGAACTTCATTTGAACAACTTTAAAGATGATGTTCTCAATATTTAGATTTTTTTGCACCCTCAGATTCCAGATTTTCAAATATTATCCGATCCTAACAAACCACACTTCAATGGAAAGATTATTTATTCAGCTTTCAGATGATGCATAAATCTCAATTTTGAAAAATTGACACTTAAGACTGGTGCTCCAGGGTCACATCTATAATTTAAGCTGTTAAGTTAGATTTTCTGGGAAATGATGCAACACATCCATAAACAGAAATACAGTTGCATAGAATTTAAACTAGTCATCTGACAAGCTGCTTTTAATATGCATAGTTGTAAAAGGCACTTATTGTTGTCCTGTAGGGCAGTGTTTCCCAACCTTTTTCACACCACTAAGCACTGAAATATAGCAACAAAAAAAGATAGAAATGGGGGGAATTTTTATTTATTTATTTATTTTTTAATAATTAAACACTGCGTCGTCAAAGTTAGTATTCTGGCTTCATATATGATCAGACACTTGCACTAAACATCTTATGAAAATCAAGCTCAAATGGAGTTCTGAGGCAGCGAGTGCATCGCATTACGTTTTCATCAACTTACAGCTCATAACGTTTATTGTTGCTGCATAGGAGCTCAGATTTACCTCCGGTTTAATACATTTGGCCAAAGTCTCTTGATGTAAAAGATGAACCTCTATGCAAACGTACAAAAGTGGCTACAAGGTTACAACTCTAACTCTTCTGCGCTCTTCAAACACACAAAAACATCCGTTCTTTATTTACCCTTGCATTGCAAACAAGCAGAGATCCAGGCGGGTGCAGTTACGAGGTTCAGTCTCAAGCTCTTTGGAATGCTTTGCTTTCGTTAAATATTTGTAAAACCCACAAACAAAATGTAAGTAACGTATTTCAAGTAACAACGATTTTTAAAATGGTAACGCACAGGCAATGATGTTAGCCAACCCGGGCCTTAAATAACTACTGTGTAAGTGACTCATGTAGTTTAGTGTTTCGAACACAGATGGCGACAGAGAGGATGTTCAAATCCACAGTCCTTTAAAAATCGGAGTATTAATAATAATACAGAGAATTTAGATGATTTATTTTTCAAATGCATCATTACTATAAATATTTCAATCCATTCTTTGCATTTGTTGTGAGTTATCACTAAAGGCCTCGCTCTCTCTCTCTCCTCTTTGTTTTGTTTCGTCTTTGTCCGTTTTTTTTAAACATGTCTATATAGTTTATATTAACTTTTATTTATTATTTTAAATAGATACACACATAGATACATGCGTGCCACTTAAAGTTTTAAAGTTGTTTGTGTATATCTATATAGTTTTATTAATTTTTATTTATTAGTTTTATTTTATTTAGTAGAAGATAAACTAAAATACGGCAACTATTTTAAATAAATATTAAACTTTTTAATTTTTATTTAATTTCAGTTAACTTATTTTATGTAAAGTGACAAAAACCTTTTTGTGGTTTTAGTTTTAGTTAGCTATAATAACCCCAATAAATACATATTTTAGGTTATATTGTATTGCATACACACACAAATATTTCCCGCCTGTTTGATCACATGACTGGTCACTGACGAGTGTGAACATGAATTTGAAAGTGAAACAGATCTTAACTGTTCAACAGTCCGTCGGCAGCGGAAGGAAACCTCTGGGAACTTTCTTCAATGTTGTTCTGTGAACAAGAAGAGACTCAATCCACTGACCTGCAGAGAACACGCGTGTGTGTGTGTGTGTGTGTGTGTGTGTGTGTGTG